ACCGCCTGTTCAGTCACAGTCCCAGCTAGAGCCCGCCTCCCCACTTCCTGCTCCCTCTCCCTACACTGGTCCCACTGGAGGTCTTGCTGAGCGTCGTGAGCCTGCGTCTCGTCCTGCGTCGCCTGTTCGTGCTGCTCGCGCTAGTGGTCGCGGTTCGCGTCAGCGTCCTCCTCCTGTCCCTGGCACGCACCGGATGTCTTTGCGTCCGTCCACTGCTCCTCTCCGTGCCCCTTTGCCTTCTCCTCCTGAGTCCTCTCTTCCTGCACTTACCGACCCAGAGTCCGACTCTCTTCGTGCTACCAGTCCTACTGTCACACGTCTCCTTGCTACTGTCGTCACTGACCCCTCTTTTGAGTCCACTGCTGCGTCTGCTCTTGTTGCTGAGCTCGTCGACTTTGCTGCTCGCTGTCGTCTAGACTACGCTGCCGGTCTTGTAGCTGAGTCTGCGTCTGTCTGTCCTCCGTCCGTCGGGGGTGAGTGTGCTCTTGGCACGGACGTCCTTGAGGACAGGCAGGAGGAGTTCCAGTGTCTGGCTGCTGCTTCACCTCATCTCGCGTCCGTACTACTTGCCCCTGAGGGAGACCCGGATGCACTAGACATCCCGACTCCGCGCTCTTACGCGGAGGCCGTAGAGGGTCCCTACTCCTCTCAGTGGCAGGCAGCTATGGATGCAGAGATGGCGTCCTGGAAGTCCACAGGCACCTACGTTGACGCGGTTCCCCCTCCTGGGGCGAACATCGTCAGTGGCATGTGGATCTTCAGGGTGAAGCGGCCGCCGGGCTCTCCACCTGTCTTCAAGGCGCGGTACGTCGCTCGTGGCTTCAGTCAGCGGCAGGGAGTTGACTACTTTCAGACCTTCTCTCCCACCCCGAAGATGACCACTCTTCGGGTGCTGCTGCACATAGCCGCTCAGCGCGACTACGAGCTCCACTCTCTTGACTTCAGCACTGCTTTCTTGCAGGGTAGCCTGCACGAGGAGATCTGGCTGCGCCGTCCACCTGGCTTCACTGGGACTTTCCCTCCTGGCACCCAGTGGAGCCTCCGACGGCCAGTCTACGGTCTCCGCCAGGCACCGCGTGAGTGGCACGACACACTGAGGACTACGCTTGCGGCTCTTGGGTTTGCTCCCTCTACTGCTGACCCGTCGTTGTTTCTGCGCACCGACACTTCTTTGCCGCCGTTCTACATCCTCGTGTACGTCGACGACTTGGTCTTTGCCACAGCTGACACTGCTGGACTAGCCTACGTGAAGTCCGAGCTGCAGAAGAGACACACGTGCACAGACCTGGGTGAACTGCGCAGCTACCTTGGCTTGCAGATCACTCGGGACAGAGCACGCCGCACCATTACCTTGACTCAGTCACACATGGTGCAGCAGGTCCTTCAGCGCTTCGGCTTCACGTACTCCTCGCCTCAGGCCACTCCTCTGTCTACTCGCCACTCGCTCTCAGCTCTGCCTTCGGATGAGTCCGTAGAGTCGAGTGGCCCGTACCCAGAGCTTGTTGGTTGCCTCATGTACCTGATGACCTGCACACGACCTGACCTTGCATACCCTCTTAGCATTCTTGCACGCTATGTTGCTCCTGGGAGACACCGACCAGAGCACATGGCTGCAGCGAAGAGGGTGTTGCGCTACTTGTGCAGTACGTCGGGCATGGGGCTAGTGCTTGGAGGGCGGAGTCCAGTGGTCCTCACTGGGCACGCGGACGCTTCTTGGGCTGACGACCAGGCTACGCAGCGGTCGTCGCAGGGTTACACCTTCAGTCTTGGTTCCGGCTCTGTCTCGTGGCGGGCTACTCGCTCGTCCTCTGTTCTCGGCTCCAGTTGTGAGGCTGAGATCTACGCCGGGGCCATGGCTGCACAGGAGCTTCGCTGGCTCACCTACCTGCTGACTGACCTTGGAGAGCCGCCTCGTTCTCCTCCAGTGCTGTACGTAGACAACAAGGCCATGCTGGCCTTGTGTCGAGAGCAGCGCTTGGAGCACAGAACGAAGCACATTGCTCTCCGTTACTTTCTTGCTCGTGAGCTGCAGCAGCGTGGTCAGTTGCGACTTGCGTACGTGGCCTCTGAGGCCAACACTGCTGATGTGTTCACCAAGGCACTTCCGCCTTGTGACCATCAGCGCTTCTGCACTCAGCTGGGTCTTGTACCTGTCTTGCCTCACTTGCTCTCCTCTTGACCTTGCTTGTACTGTCACATATATATACCTGCTCTTGCTTGTCTAGCTCTATATATATATGTGCACTCCTGCATGTGAACTGGCCTTGTGGCCTTGTCGTTGTGCTCGGACTGTGTGGTGACTTTGTGATCCACCCTGAGCTTGCTGTTCTTTGCGTGACTGGTCTTGTGACCCCTTGTTCTCCCCCACTTTGCCTATGGGGGTGTGTCAGAACATATATATAGCTTATGCTGTTGTGTAGGCTATAGTGGGGTATCCCATAGGGGGTACAACCCAATTAGGGTTTCCTATATGTACTCACTTCATTCATAGTTCATCCATCCTCGTTCTCATTATCACATGTGACACGTCACCACACATGCCGTTGCTGGAAGCCAGCCGTACATCCGCCGCAACGAAAACCGAAGACCGGTCCCATACGGACAGCATTTCCCACTTGTCAACCACCTGCGCGTCACTGTTCCTCATCCCCAGAATACGAAGGGAACATTCATTCGTGAATATTGTTGGAGTGTCGTATGCAGTTGAGCTCACTAAGGACGTGACCCAGACCACCTCTGATCGGCGCTGATCTGATCGGGTTGGATCTGATCGGGTTGCTTCTGATTGCATTACTCGCGCCGCCCGATCAATGCTGATATTCCTGGAAAACTCAAGGCGCCTGCCTCGCAAGCGTGTCAGCATTTCCTGATTCTTTCGTCCCAATTTTGGCGAGTGCGAAGACGTTGCGAGTTTTCTGTTTCCACGTAATCTCGCAAATTACACTTAAGATAATGTTTGCGCGATTTTGTGACGATCTCAACGAGAAACTGTAACCTGTTTCGCAAGCGTCGCAAGGATCCCCATCCCATGCAATCAACTGATCGTGACTGATTGTGTGTGATCGTGATTGATTGGGGTGTTTGAGGCGGTTGATTGAGTTGGGGCGATCAATTGATCGCGATCAGTTGATTGCCCCTGATCGCCTGAAATCGGCATAGGGGCTTCCTGGAAGTTGTTGATCGCCTCTGATCGAGGCAATCAGAAGCGGTCTGGGCCACATCCTAACTTTCATACAATCTGGTTACTTATAATTATTACATTTCAAATCTCATGGAAATAGATGTCAAAACTGGCAACCAAAGATTTGGCTTGCCAATCTTTATTTTTTTTGTGTCTTCTCATTATCAGACCCCTATATTTACGTTTCTAATACCTTAATACATCTGAATGGATGCTGAAACACTACAGTTTGGTTTGTTTTCTGCCCCAAATGCACGCAAATGGGCACCAGATTTGACGAGCATGCTGTCAGGATAGTAAAATATTTTGGATGAGCAAAAGAAACCAATTAATAATAAAAGAAAAATAAAAACCGGACGTTGAAACAGCACCACGTGTCGTGATGCTTGTTTCTGCGTTTGCTGGCCCTAAATCTGTGCAATGATACGCTTGTGCGCAACATGTCACCGTTTCAACGTTTTGATGTTGTTTTCAGCACTATTTCTTCACACATTCAGGTATTAAATTCTATTCCCTTGCCATAGGAACTGGTTTAACCTCGTTTGCCCAACTACGCAGCACGTGACGCTTGTTTGTGCGTTTGCTGGCCTGAATCTGTGCAAGGATAGGCCTGTGCGCAACATGTCACCGTTTCAGCATTTGGATGTTATTTTTAGCACTATTTCTTCATACATTCAGGTAGAAAATCCTATTCCCTTGCCATAGGAACAGGATTGAGCTCGTTCGCACAACTACGCAGCGCGTGACGCTTGTTTGTGCGCTTGTTGGCCCGAATCTGTGCAAGGATAGGCATCTGCGCAACATGTCACCGTTTCAGCACTTGGATGTTGTTTTTAGCACTATTTCTTCACATATTCCGTTAGCACATCCTATTCGCTTGCCACAGGAACTGGTTTGACCTCGTTCGCCCAACTACGCAGCACGTGACACTTGTTTGTGCGTTTGATGGTCTGAATCTGTGCAAGGATAGGCCCGTATGGAACATGTCACCGTTTGAACGTTTGGATGTTGTTTTTAGCACTATTTCTTTACAAATTTAGTCAGTGCATCCTATTCGCTTGCCATAGGAACTGGCTTGACCTCATTCGCCCAACTACGCAGCACATGACGTTTGTTTGTGTGTTTGCTGGTCTGGATCTGCGCAAGGATAGGCGTGTGCGCAACAGGTCACTGCGCCAACGTCTGAATGTCTTTTTTACCACTATTTCTTCACACAGTTCGTTTCTACATCCTATTCCCTAGCCATAGGAACTGATTGCATCTCGTTAGCACGACTACGCAGAACGTGACGCATGTTTGTGCGTCTCTTGGCCTGAAACCGTGCGAGGATAGGCCTGCGCGCAACATGTCACTGTGCCAGCGTCTGAATGCCTTTTTTACCACTATTTCTTCACAGTGTTCCCTACTACATCCTATTACCTAGCCATAGGAACTGATTTCATCTCGTTAGCACAACTATGCAGCTCGTGGCGCATGTTTGTGCGTTTGCTGGCCTGAATCTGTGCAAGGATAGGTGTGTGCGCAACAGGGCACTGCGCCAACGTCTGAATGTCTTTTCTACCACTATTTCTTCACACAGTTCGTTTCTACATCCTATTCCCTAGCCATAGGAACTGATTGCATCTCGTTAGCACGACTACGCAGAACGTGACGCATGTTTGTGCGTCTCTTGGCCTGAAACTGTGCGAGGATAGGCCTGCGCGCAACATGTCACTGTGCCAGCGTCTGAATGCCTTTTTTACCACTATTTCTTCACACTGTTCCCTACTACATCCTATTACCTAGCCATAGGAACTGATTGCATCTCGTTAGCACAACTATGCAGCTCGTGGCGCATGTTTGTGCGTTTGCTGGCCTGAATCTGTGCAAGGATAGGCCTGTGCGCAACATGTCACTGCGCCAACGTCTCAATGCCTTTTCTACCACCATTTCTTCACACAGTTCTCTACTACACCCTATTATATAGCCATAGGAACTGATTTCATCTCGTTAGCACAACTATGCAGCTCGTGCGGAGAATTCTATTCTAAGGGAGAACTGAATTGCGTGTGACGCACGGTCAGGCAGTGATTCTGGACAGAGTGTTTGAATAACTTGGTAGAATTCGAGCATAGTTTCACTAAGGAAAATTGATAGAAATTAGATTATGGTTCAAGGAAAGAGATCCCAAATAGCAAGCACAATGAATCTGGAGAAACGTTCCTCGACGAACGCTCGACCTTTTCGAGTCAGCAACGCCAGGTGAAACGACAAGCATATGTGTCTTTCCCCTGAGTTCGCATCTTCTCAGGTTTCCAACGTTCAGAGTTGTTTACGTTTTTACTGTTAGTAACAAGATTCGACGTTAACGTCGGATGGGTTGCGTAGTTGTCACATTCATATTTTACAAAACACGAGGACAAGCAATTTAATGTATTTATATAGCACCAAGTTTTAACTTTCATGTATTAATGAATATAGCAAGTCTAGTTACTTCTTGATTATGAAATAATGTGTTAGTTTATGATTCCCTTGCTAAACCATGGGTGAATAGAACAATTGAGTGTCTTTTTTATAAGTAGTTTATAAAATTTAGTGAACAACTATGTTTTATATCTTCAATAGTATATTTTGTAACACTATACTATCCGGTTCTTTCTCTAGCAAAAGTGTGGTTCAAATTGAACTGTTTTCCAGCTCACACAAATTTCACGTGATTATCCGTGTGTGTTCTCGCGTGGCACCAGCGTTTGGTTTTTGTTTTGAATTCCAAGTGCCCAAGTTCTGTGCTGGCTTTCAGATTGCCCCAACGTTTTCGTTTACTGTAGTTTCTTGTTTGGCACTCCCTCCCACCCCGTCATCACTTCTCCTCCCCCACCAGCTGTTGCCTCACCCTCCCACCCACCACGTCATCGCCTCTCCCTCCCACCCACCTTTCCATCGCTACTCCCTCCCACCCCGCCATCCTCTCTCGATTCCAGCCCCCCTTCCCCTCTCCCTCCCACTATGCCGAGGCCTCTCCCTCCCTCCCGCCGTCGCCTCTCCCTCCTCCTCGCCGTCGCCCATCCCTCCTCCCCGCCGTCGCCTCTCCCTCCTCCCTGCAGTCGCCCATCCCTCCTCCCCGCCGTCGCCTCTCCCTCCTCCCCGCCGTCGCCTCTCCCTCCTCCCCGCCGTCGCCTCTCCCTCCTCCCCGCCGTCGCCCATCCCTCCTCCCCGCCGTCGCCTCTCCCTCCTCTTCGCCGTCGCCCATCCCTCCTCCCCGCCGTCGCCTCTCCCTCCTCCCCGCCGTCGCCTCTCCCTCCTCCCCGCCGTCGCCTCTCCCTCCTCCCCGCCGTCACCCATCCCTCCTCCCCGCCGTCGCCTCTCCCTCCTCCCCGCCGTCGCCTCTCCCTCCTCCCCGCCGTCGCCTCTCCCTCCTCCCCGCCGTCGCCTCTCCCTCCGCATCACGGTCGCCTTTCCCCCCCATCCGCCGTCGCCGCTCCCTCCTCCCGCCGTCGCCGCTCCCTCCCATCCCGCCGTCGCCTCTCCCTCGCATCCCGCCGTCGCCTCTCCCTCCCATCCCGCCGCCGACTCTGTCGACAGGTCACGAGCAAGCTGGTGCGCGAGTGGGAGCCGGTGCGCGAGCGCGGGTTTGACTCTGCACCGTGAATTGCAGGTGCGTTTACCTTTCCCTGTCCTTTTTTCCTCCCTTCCCCCTACTGAAAGGTCCTATATTTCCGATTTTTCCTATCGTATTTGTAGTTTCTGTGTGTTGATTGGTCTCTTGCGTTGCACTACTATTTGAAGAGGGGGGAGAGGGAGCGCGAGGGAGCGAGAGCGCAGGAGAGTGCGCGCGTGAGAGCTAAGGAAGCACTAGAGGGAGAGGCGCGAGAGAGAGCGCCGTGCGCGCTTGCGCCGTCGGCGCGGGCCCTATTGGCGCTTGTGCCTAGCCCCTTGCGCTTAGGGCGCTGGGGCCGTGGGCGCAAGCGCCGTGGTTGCTGGCGCCTAAGGCGCTTGCGCTTATGGCGCAGACGCCTTGGCCGCTTGCGCCGTTGGCGCGGGCTCCGTGGGTGCTAGCACCTAACGTGCTTGCGCTTAGGGCGCGAGCGCCGTGGGTGCTGCCCCATGAGGCGCTGGCTCTGTGGGCGCTTGCGCCGGGGGCTCTGGCGCCTTGGGCGCGAGCGCCGTTTGTGCTGGCGCCTAAGGCGCTGGTGCAGTGGGCGCGGGCGCCGTGGGCGCTTGCACTTGCTGGCGGCTTGGGCACGGGCGACGTGAGGGCGAGACTTGGATGTGCACGTGCACTTGCAGGTGAGTGCGGTTATGAGTGCAAGGGCAAGTGCGAGTGTGAACGAGAGAGCAGATGCGAGCGTAAGCGCGAGTGTGAGTGCGAAAGCAATTGTGGGAGTGAGTGCCAGGGCGAGTTTGAGGGTGAGTACGAGTGTGAGTGTGTGTTAGTGCAAGGGGGAGTGCGAGGGTCCGTTTGAGTGTGTGCTAGGGTGAGTACGATGATGAGTGCAAGAGTTTGTGTGTGTGTTTCTGTGATTGTCGAAGAAGAGTTGAGAGTACATTACATGTGTTTGAGTGCAAGAGTGAGTGCGAGAGTGAGTGCAAGAGTGAGTGCGATGGTGAGTTAGATGGTGGCTGCGATGTTTAGTGCAAGCGTGAGCGCGGGTGTGAGTGCGAGGGTGTGTGAGATGGTGTGTGAGGGCAAGTAGAAGAGTGAGTGCGAGGGTGAGTTCGAGGGCGAGTGTGTGGGTGTGGGTGTGAGTTGAGTTCAAGGGTGCCACCGTGCCGGCGACTGTGTGTGCGTGTGAGTGTGAAAGTGTTCGAGTGAGTGCGCGAGTTCGAGGGTGAGTGCAAGGGTGTGTGTTTGTGTTTCTGAGGGTGTGTCTAAGAACGGTTGAAAGTAATTGTGCGTCCGTGAGTGGTTGCGAGAGTGAGTACGGGAGTGTGTGAGGGTGAGAGGGCGGTATCCGGGTGCGAAAGCGCGTGTGACTGCGAGTGTGAGTACGCGCATGTACTTGAGGGTAAGTGCGAGGGTGTGTGCAAGTGCGTGTATGCGGGTGAATATGAGAGGAAGTACGAGGGTGCGTGTTTAGGTGAGTGCGAGGGTGAGAACGAGAGCAAGAGTTAGAGCAAGTGCGAGAGTGAATGTGAGTGTAAATATGATGGTGCAGGGTTTGGGGTGAGTGTGAGCTCGAGTGTGAGGGTAGTTCAAGGGTGAGTGCGAGGATGAGTGGGTGTGCGTGTGAGTGCAAGGCTGAGAGCGAGACTGTCTTAGGGTGAATGCGAGAGCAAGTGCGAGTGTGAGTGCAAGGGTGCGTGTGAGTGTCCTTGCGTGCGCGTGGAAGTATTTGTAACGTGTAACGTATGATTGGAATGAGAATGATCATGAGTGCGAGGGTAAGTGCAAGAGTTAACGTGTAGGTTTGTATGTGTGTTTCTGTGTGAGTGTGTCTAAGAAAGTTGAGAGTATTTGTGCGTGTGTGAGTGGGTGCGGGATTGAGTACAAGATTGAGTGCGAACGTGAGTGTGAAGTTGAACTTGAGGGTGGCTTCAAGGCATGGCATCATGCTGGTGTAGTATCTGTGGTGCCACGACTAATACCAATTTACCTCTGTGAGCTGTCAAATCGATTGCTCATCTTTTTCCATTGTGCTTATTTCGTCTCTAGTGGGTGAGCTGCATTCTCTGCTTTTGTCTTCTTGTGCAATCCTATGAGGTGTACTCTCTTTGTTTTTGCTTTCTTATGCAGTGTGGGTGAGTTGTTTCCTAATTGGCCTCCTCACATGAGTTGCATCCTCTGTTTTTGCTTTCTTGTGCAGGGCGTGTTGCATTCTCTGTTTTTACTTTGTGCAGGGCTCGTAAGCTGCATTCTTTGATTATGTTTGGCGGAGAAGGGAGATGAGGGAGGCAATGGGAGGGAGATGAGGGAGGGACGGAGGGAGGGAGGGAGGGAGGCAAGGAGGCAGGGAGGGAGGGAGGGAGGGAGGGAGGGAGGGAGGGAGGGAAGGAAGGAGGGAGGGAGGGAGGAAGGGAGGGGTGTAGGGAGGGTAAGGGGTGATTGGCTAGTGATGATTTACTAATAGCTGAATTTCATGATGGTTGTGTGTTGACTATCCGTATGTATCTGTGCTTGTTTGCGTGCGTGTCAGTGTGTATGTGTGTGTGTGAGCCTGTGTGTGCATGTGCAGTCGTGTTGTTTGTATCGTTTGTGTCTGTCTCAAGGCGTGTGCTGAAGTGCCTCGTGTATGCAACTCAGGTTGTGATCGCCGGTGGGGCAATAGCCTTAGCGTGCCAGACAAACCTTTGTTGCATCATCGATGCATTTTAGCATTCTCCCCAAGACACTCATTGTTATGCGTTGTCGTCGTTGTACCAGTACAATGTCGCATGTGCTCGTTCGTGTTTGTTGTAAGGTGTCATGTTAAAGTGTGTCAGGTCTGCAATTGAGGTGGGGATCGTTGTTGGGGCAGCGTTGCTCGCCTTAGCATACCGGATCCATCGCTATTGTAGCACTGATGCATTTTGCCATTCACTTTATGACATTTGCTGTTGTTGATTGTTGTCGTTTTGCACATGTTCGATACGGTAGATGCAAATCCGTAATTTGCATCCACGCCGAATTTGTTGTCTCGTCAATTGTGTGTGATGTACCGTAAAATATGGCGAGGCTGCTACCAATTGTTTCCATTCGCCATATTTATCGACGATTATGGAATAATTGGTCTCATTTGGTTTCACTTTTTTTTGGAGGCTCTTGTGTAGCAGTGCTGTCATCTCCACACATTTGAAGCACACGTTCTCAAAACGTTAAAGCTAGTGCTTCAGATGTTGGGAATATGACAAAAATGTGCACTGTTCATTCGAGTCGACCGAAAAAAGTGCTACCAAATGTAAAGGGGTTGCTACGCAACCCAAAAACGTGTTTCAGGTTCAGTTTCCTTGCTGATTCGAAATCTCCTGGGGAGTACAATTTCCGAAATGCTCTGATTGGTCGAAATTTGTTGTTTCGCGATTGGTCGAAATTCGCACACATTGCGATTTTTGGAAACAAGTAATTTTGGTTGACCAGAATTTCTCTGCTCGACAACGCCTCGTTCGAGCTTTATTCTGTCGACCAGCGTTTCGTCGAATCGCCATTTTCTCCAATTTCGTCTACCAGCAAGGCCCGATTTCGACGCCGATTTGCTCCCCTCGACAAGTGCCTTGTCGACGGGCAGTTGCGTAGAGCAGAAACAACACTTCAATCTCGACGACTTAATATTCTCGAAAATCGACCCGTCGAACAGAGATAAAAGTCCCTGAAGTCGCCGATGACCACGAAACGAACACCGTTGTGCTTCGAAAAGCATGGCGGACTTCGCCCAAGCGAGGGTGGGGCCTTTTCTCCTCGACAGCTCGTGGACCATGTTTGTGCGTTTGCTGGCCTGAATCTGTGCAGGGATAGGCCTATGCGTAACATGTCACCGTTTCAACATTTGGATGTCGTGTTTTGCACTTTTTCTTCACACATTCAGGTAGTACGTCCTATTTCCTTGCCACGGGAACTGCTTTGACCTCGTTCGCCCAACTACGCAGCATGTGACGCTTGTTTGTGCGTATGCTGGCCTGAATCTGTGCAAGGATAGGTCTGTGTGCAACATGTCACCGTTTCAACGTTTGGATGTCATATTTAGCACTTTTTCTTCACACATTCAGGTAGTACATCCTATTACCTTTCGACAGGAACTGGTTTGACCTCGTTAACCAAACTACGCAGCACGTGATGCTTGTTTGTGCGTATGCTGGCCTGAATCTGTGCAATAGGAGTAGTAGTAGTAGTAGTAGTAATAGAAGTAGTAGTAGTAGTAGTAGTAGTAGTAGTAGTAGTAGTAGTAGTAGTAGTAGTAGTAGTAGTAGTAGTAGTAGTAGTAGTAGTAGTAGTAGTAGTAGTAGTAGTAGTAGTAGTTGTCAGATTTATATGACATAGCTACTGTAGGCTAGAGTGGGGTAGCACATATGGGGTACAGTTTTCTAGGGTTTGCTTCTTGTACCCAACTTTCACTTAGTCATTCTCATTCCTGTTTTTTCTTGATTCACATGGTATAGAGTGGGTTCCTACATGGGACCGTTCCTTCCTAAGGGCCCACCATAAGAATTTTTTTTTAGCTGCCCGCGCACATTGCGCCCTGCCCTAAATTTTTTTTTTAGCGGCCCCTACGCTGCCTCTACGCGGCCCCTACGCCGCCTCCCACGCGCCCCCTATGCGGCCCCTGGCGGCGCCCTGACGAGGCCCCTGCCGGCGCCCTATCGCGGCCCCTGACGCGCTCCCCTAGTGGCGCCCTGACGCGGCCCCTGGCGGCACCTGACGCGGCCCTGACGCGGCCTGACGCGGCCCCTGGCGGCGCCCTGACGCAGCCCCTGCCGCGGCCCTGACGCGGCCCTACCGCGGCCCCTGACGCGGCCCTGACGCGGCCTGCCGCGGCCCCTGCCGCGGCCCTGAAGCGGCCCCTGACGCGGCCCTGACGCGGCCCTGACGCGGCCCTGCCGCGGCCCCTGGCGGCGCCCTGACGCGGCCCCTGACGCGGCGCCCTGACGCGGCCCCTGCCGCGGCCCTGACGCGGCCCTACCGCGGCCCCTGACGCGGTCCTGACGCGGCCTGCTGCGGCCCCTGCCGCGGCCCTGAAGCGGCCCCTGACGCGGCCCTGAAGCGGCTCTGCCGCGGCCCTGACGCGGCCCTGACGCGACCCCTGACGCGGCCCCTGCCGCGGCCCCTTACGCGGCCCTGACGCGGTCCTGCCGCGGCCCCTGGCGGCGCCCTGACGCGGCCCCTAACGCGGCGCCCTGACGCGACCCTACCGCGGCCCCTGACGCGGCCCCTGCCGCGGCCCCTGACGCGGCCCCTGACGCGGCCCCTGTCGCGGCCCCTGACGCGGCCCCGCCTCCTCTCAGCGGCTCCGCCGCCTCCTCTCAGCGGCCCCGCCGAGCCGCCCAGCAGCCGAGCCGCCGAGCCGCCCAGCAGCCGAGCCGCCCAGCAGCAGAGCCGCCGAGCCGCCCAGCAGCCGAGTCGCTGAGCCGCCCAGCAGCCGAGCCGCCGAGCCGCCCAGCAGCCGAGCCGCCCAGCAGCCGAGTCGCCGAGCCGCCCTGCAGCCGAGCCGCCCGAGCCGCCCTGTCCGGTAAGAGCAGCGCCTCTCTCACAGCACTGCCCTCACCCCACTGTTTGCACTGCTAGTCTACTACTGTCATGGCTACCCCTAGTGTCCTCGCTTTTGACGCTGAGGGTCGGGCCATTGACTTTGACGTCTGGATAGATGACCTGCAGCTTTTCTTACAGTGTGATAGGACAGACGGCCTCTCCCTCTTTGACCTCACTTCTGGTGCCTCTCCTGCTCCCGCCACTGATGCTGACGCAACTGTTCGCTCCCAGTGGGCCACGCGCGATGCTGCTGCACGTCTTGCTGTGCGTCGCCACCTGCCTACCTCTGAGCGTGCGCACTTTAGCCAGTACAAGAGTGCTCAGACCTTGTACGACGCTGTAGTTGCACGCTACTCCTCCCCTGCCACTGCTGCACTGAGTCGCCTCATGCTACCGTACCTCTTCCCTGACCTTGCTGCCTTTCCCACAGTCGCTGACCTCATCACGCACCTCCGCACTAGTGACACTCGCTACCGCGCTGCGCTTCCTGCTGAGTTCTGCGCCAAGAACCCCCCCCTAATGTACATCACCCTCTACTACATCGTCACCCGTCTCCCTGACTCCCTTCGCGTAGTCACCACCACTCTCACCGTTGACCTCCTCGAGAAGGCCCTCCTAGCAGCAGAAAAGAGCATAGTCGCTGTAGGAGCCTCTCGTGGTGACCCTCGCACCCCCATCTTTGAGGGGTGTTCCCCCTCCCCTCTTTTGCCCTCTGTTGCCTCTGCTGCTGCGGCCGACCTCGCTGGTTTGGAGTCGGTTGGGGCAGCGTCTACCCCTAGCGGGAGACGCCGCCCTGGCAGGGGCAAGGGGGGCAGGGGCGCTGGAGGAGCTAGCGGGGGCGGTGGAGGCGGCGGTGGAGGTGGTGGAGGAGGTGGTGGTGGCGGTGGGAGTGGTGGCGGGGGTGGAGGTGTAGGTGGCGGCAGTGGAGGCGCAGGAGGCAGCGGTGGTGGCGGAGGGAGCGGAGGTGGCGGCGGTGGAGGAGGAGGCGGCGGAGGAGGTGGAGCTGGTCGGGGTGGCGCTGCGCAGAGGGTCAGCTCCGGTGGTGGTCAGCGCCAGCAGCAGCAGCAACAGCAGCAGCAGCAGCGCACTCGTGACGTCCCCTCCCCTCAGCAGCTCCGTGAGTGGTACACTGCACGCCAGAGGGGTGGGGGTGCTGGTCCGTGCACCTACGTCCTGCGCACCGGCGACCGCGCGGGTGAGCAGTGCGGGGGTGCGCACTCCACCCAGCGCTGCTTTGGCCGCCTCACGGACGCTTGGCGTCACCAGTTTCCTGAGGCCACTGAGATCCCCCGCTGGTATGGTGAGGTATGTTGAGGTCTATCACGTCCCACTCACTCACTCCCACACAGGGGTCTCAACTCCAACTCTCTCAACGGCTCCATTCCCAACTACATCAACCCGCTCGATGCACTCACATACCTGTAAGAGGCACCCTGGGTTTTCTATTTCTATGTGCATATCATCACTGCTGGCCAAGGTGCATAACGTTTTTTTTTTTCCCGTTTTTTTTCTTCCAGACTCTTTCTGTGACAAAACGTTTTCATAACAAACGACTATTTTGGTGGGAAAAAAGCACCTACTATTTTTCTTGTTAGGTTTCTAACCTGCTGTTGTACTAGACAAGACATGAGCAACTGGCGAACTCAAACGTGTTTGAGTCGAAAATGCCGAACATGTCTTGCAACCGAAC